TCTTCTTCTTCTTCTTCTTCTTCTTCTTCTTCTTCTTCTTCTTCTTCTTCTTCTTCTTCTTCTTCTTCTTCTTCTTCTTCTTCTTCTTCTTCTTCTTCTTCTTCTTCTTCTTCTTCTTCTTCTTCTTCTTCTTCTTCTTCTTCTTCTTCTTCTTCTTCTTCTTCTTCTTCTTCTTCTTCTTCTTCTTCCTCCTTCTTCTACCTCCTCCTCCCCCCCCCTACTCCTCCTGCATCTAGTAGGAGAAATGAAAGAAGTAGTAAGAATGGTGTTGCTAGGTACCATATTTGGCAGGAGGGGATGAGTATATTAAATTGGGCCACTAAGACTCACTTTAACTTCACATTCAGCTTGGAAACTGTCTGGACAACTTTGTACTACATTCAAAGTCAATGCTACCTTCCAAGTTTGTTGTTGAGGAGAAAATACTGGGTGAGAGAATACCAGGTATACTCCCTTGAAGTGCCAGATGAAACTCCTTTGAGGTGCAGACTAGAAATCTAAATAACATTAAATCTAAATCACGATTATCAATCTGAGAAAGGCTGGTTTGCATCTTCACAGTTTTATTAATCATATCGTTTACAAAATAATAAAACTATAGTTCTGATTTACAAATGGTGTATAATTGCTTAAAATTAGATGCTCAAGAGTACATTCAGTTATGAAACAAGGAAACAGAATGCCTACTCACTGAATTAAATACTATTATTAATACTACTAACAATAACTCTAATACAGTAAAAAACATTGAATTAACAGACTTCAAATTAGATAATTTCAGATGCAATTGGCAAAATATCCAAATTTTCATCCCCTGAAATAGGGAACATATCCATTGCATCTTCTGGATAAGATACTTAAGGATACAAAAACAAGAAAAATAAAATGATGTTATTTTATTCACGTATTTATGCCATTTGCATATCTTGAATTATAAACCAAAAGAAAGGTATATGGCATATTTTTATAATTGCAAAAAAATAAATCTAACAATGTTGGAAAAACATGTATTTTCTCTGCAAAGATTCCCATTTGGGGGGGTTATTTAAAAATGCACATTTTATTTTTTTTCTGTGTAATTGTTTTGAATAGAATAACATGAATATATTTGTGAGACCAATGGTTCTGACCACATAGTTCTTGTGCATTTTTCTTTCTGGTTGTATCTATTTTTAATTAAAAATATATAGCTTAATAAACAACCTCATTTTATTTTAAAATGTTAATATTTATGACTTGAGCATTAGATGAAGGAACTAAGCACTCTTTTAAAAAAGCTAAAGTGGAAACTGTTGTACTAATTAAATGCTGCTTAATCCAGTCCTTTAATTCACTGGATTTTTTAGCATGGATGCAAAAGCTGTCCTGATGGTGTCTGTCAGATGTTTTCTTGTCTTCTACTAGAAAAGTCATCCAGTGATCTGAAACATTATTTGCTTGGGTGATTCTCTGAAGGTATTTGCCAAAGTACTTTGCATGAAATAACCCAACCCCTGGGCTACATCAAGATAGTTTATTCCCCAAATCTGCCCAGGTCTTCTAAAAAGTCACCAGTTCACATGTCCTTTTCAATAATGGTGCTTAATTGTTTTGTGTTCTCACTTTGTAAGCATTTGAAAGAATCTTGATTTCCTGAGTAAGGCGACAACAAGAAACTGACAGCCTTTACTTTCCCCCTAGAAAAGAAATGAGGGCAAAAGATTTTAAGTAAAAAGCCTTGTTTTAATTTCTTGAGCAAAAACTTATCAATGCAACACACTAGATTTATTTATGCAAATGGACCCCACCTCAGAACTGACCTCTCCAGTAGAAAGGTTTTGATGGTCTAATGCTTGGAAAAAGAAAACATGTGGAAAATGAGATGTTCTGCATCAAAGCATTGAGTGAAATATGCCAACTGTTGTTTTTTTTTTTTTTTACTTTCGTGGGGAGGGGTAGGGTATGCTGCGCCTCCAGCTTCAGGTCACATGTTTGTTTCAGTAAGAAAAGTACTCAATACATTGCACAGAATGATAATTATATTCCATAATGGATCCATTATATTCTGCATCTCAGCCTTATAAAGAATTCCCATTTGGAAATATGTCTTCCAAAGTATAAGCTAATAATACAAAGTTATTAGCTAACTTTGGTGGATATTAAAAAGTAAAGTAAAGTCTGATATCAGTTACAACAGTACTTGGATGGGAAATCCATTAGAAAATGCTATGTTGGGAAAGTTAAGAAAAAAAACCAAAACCACCCAGGTCATGTTCAATTCAACAGTCATCAGCATCTTGTTATCCTTTACATATCAGTTTAATAATCAGCAATAAAGATCCTATTCATGTATAGCTTCAAGAAAC